TTGTTTTCTCCTCCAGACTATTCATCCAGTCTATCTTATCTAGATCTGTAGAGATAATAATATGCATCAAAAACCAAGCCATAACAAGATAGGTGGATCAGTGAGAACACATCGATGGTAGCAAAAAAGGAAACCAATTACCCATTGAAGAATAAGTTAATTAAAAGGAAAAAATTTTAAGCAGAAAGAAAATCCTTTGTATAGATCAAGGTCTGATTTTTGATCTCTAGGGGTGTCCTTCAGTCAGGACTGATGGGGCACCATGCTCTGATCCCAGAGTCTGTCCTTTGTACTCCCTCAGGGGCTCTCTGCTCTGCTCCCACGGTTGCTCTGCCGCTCGCTTTTTGTGGTTTGCCTCGGTGTCTGAATCTCCAGTGTTGTCCGCCTTAGAGCCTGGGGCTCTCAAGGGATGGCGTGTCTCGTGGTGGGATCAGCCATATCGTCCACTCTGTCCATTGGCTGTTCAGAGCGGGGATGTCGTCCTCCAGGCCTGGTGCGTCAGGATGTGCTCCACTCTCTCTTCCTCCCACTAAGTGCTCCCATTTGCTCTGGTCAGACATGCCCCTCTCCCCTAGCTGCAGCTTCATTGCCATCCTTCTCAAGTAAATTCTTCTGAGGGGAGGGGCAGTGGCACAACTCCCTCTTAATCCATGTACAGGTCCATCGTGAAGTGCTCTTAAATTCCCCCTCTTCTCAAGGCTCTCCATAGTTTATTGATTCACACAATCAAATGTCTTTGCACAGTCAACACACACACACACACACACACACACACACACACTTTTCTAGTATTCTCTGCTTTCACCCATTTGACATTAGCCAAGATATCTCTGGTTCTATGTCCTCTTCTGACTCCAGCCTGGATTTCTGGATGCTCTCGGTCAATGTACTGCTACAACTGTTGCTGAATGATCTTCAGCACAGTTTTACTTGCATGTGATGTCACAAATATCGTTCTATAATTTGTTGGGTCACCTTTCTTCAGAATGGGTAACAAAACAACACATCACAGGAGATTTTATTTGTTACTAGTCTTATATATAGCCCACTACGTCCTTGATGTTATCTGGCTGGGCCCTGTAGGTACCTGAATTTTGATTCCTGGAAGCAATGGGGAACCAGTGAATTGTCATATTCTTTGAGACTGGGAACTCAAAGAGTCTAACAGTCAGGTGGCCAAGTAATTGTCTTCCAAATGTCTTGGCATAGACTAGTGAGTGCCAGTACTTTATCAGCTTATTAAAACTTTTCAATTGGTATCTCATCAATTCCCAGAACCTTAATTTTGGCTAATGCCTTCAGTGCAGCTTGGACTTCTTCCTTCAATTCCATTCATTCTTGATCATATTCTACCTTTGAAACAGTGTAATACTGACTAGTTCTTTTTGGTACATTAACTCTATATTCTTTCCATCTTCTTCTGAGACTTCTTACCTCATCCAATATTGTGCCCAAAGAATCTCTCAATATTGCAAATCGAGACTTGAATTTTTCTTGAGTTCTTTCCATTTAAGATATGCTAAGCATGCTCTCCCTTTTTGATTTTTTTAAGGATGTGTTTGCACATGTCATTATAATATCTTCCTTTGTCTTCTTGAGCTGCCCTGTGAAATTAGTTACTAATGGTCAATAGTGTTCACATTAAAATCACGATCTTGGCTTCTCTTGAAAATACCCAAGATGTGATCACTTGGTCCATAGATCACAAATCAGTAATCTGCTAGAGGAATAGTATTCAGGATCCCTAGGACTCCCTTTTTAGAAGGTTTACCAGGTCCTAGGGTTTTCTCCATATACTTCAATCAAAATGATCTATCTGCTTCCTTTGCATTACCTGTCTGGACCCTGTAGACATGACTTTTGATTCCTATAAGCAATGGGGAGACAGTGAAGCATCGTCTTCAATGAGTCTGAAAATCCATAGTCTCTTAAGTGTAGGGTGCTTAGTTATGGAGGGATATAGAAGTTAAGGGATAAAAACTATTTGTTAAAGGAAATCTAGTTGTTATTCATGAATCTAACTTTATTTTGCGCATAGGCGCTGCTAAGCAGCATGGCTGGGTTCATGAGCAGTAAACGGTGACAGACTTTATCCAGAAACCACAGACCTACCTTTGATGCCCTTGTCATTATCTGACTTTTCTTTAACCTTCAACTTTTTTCTATTATCTTGACTTTCTTCTACAATGGTCTCCAAAGGTGGTTTATTTTCTGTCTCCTTGAGACTAATCCTAGGAATAAGTGAAGATGTTTATCTACTTTACTGGATCTGAAACTAAGACTGACATTTAGTTTCAGGAAGCAACTCAGGCAGCTTCTTGTTTCTGAAATGAGGTCCATTTCCTCCAAGGTGGGGAGTCCCTGACTGGTGAACATGAATCCTGTTTTCAGCTGCCAACCAAAGCATGAGAGGTTCAAGTTCACCCATGGATGCCTCATAAGAAAGGCCTAATGAGCTACTTCTGAAAAGTCAGCCATTGAAAATCATGTAAAGCACATAGATAGCTATTCTGATTGATACACATGGGGTGTTTAGGGAAGAAGTCAACTAAGTGGCAACTTGTTTCCCTCAAGTAGCAAGAGCTTTGATTTGCTAAGTAAATATTGAGGGCTCAGGCTCTTTGGGACAAAGGCTGGGGCCAACCAAAATCTTCACCTCTCTGTGGTCTCAAAAGCAACTCACATGTACAGAAATCAGAGCAATAACCTGGTTCATTTGGTTTGAGCCCTTGCTGAGAATTTGCATTTCCATTCAGATATACTGAATCAAAATTTGCATTGTAACAAGATCCGAGTGAATATTAAGCATGCATACACCTCTTCAAAGGGCGGGGTTATAACAAATACACACCAGAGGCGTCACAGACTTTTAAGAGATGATAAAATGATAGTCTGGGCATCCAAGATTCCCTAAGCTCCTTCCACCTGAAGTGATTAGGTGCTAATAGCAGAACAATTAAGATTAAGATGATGACTCACAATGAGTGAGCAATGGCCAAAGTGAAAATAAAACCCTTATCTTCTGGCTCCTATTCCAGCCTCCTTCATACTGTACCACACTGCCTCACTCACAATGGTAATTAGCATGAATAAATTTAAAATGAATGTTCTACTGGGTAAAATGGGGGGAAAGAAAACATATATACCATAGGGTTGTAATGAACATCAAATACAATAACACTGAGAAAGTGCTTAACAGGACCTACCTGGCACCTCATATGTGGTCCATAAATGGTAGTCAGTATTATTATTATCATTATTATTGCTATCATCATAATGATCATTTTTAACAGCAGCCACCAGTAAACATTGACAGTGCTCTCTCCTACTCTTTGTATCATCTTACCTGCTAAAGAAGGCTTTGGGATGGAAGCCTATGCGATCGCACCGTGGTTTTGAACGCTTCCATCAGTAAGAATCAAGGCTTAGGCAGAGGTGGGCTAGACTGCAAGGCAGTGGTTGCAAGTGGAGTAAAGCAGGGAACAGAACTCTTACTAATATTGCAGGGGTGAAGGTTAGTGAAAGGAGCCATGGTAACACAATTGTTAAAGGTTCAGCTGCTAACTGAAAGGTCGGAGGTTCGAATCCACCAGTGACACTGTGGCTAAAAGAGGAGGCGATCCACTCCCAGCAGGAAACCCTAGGGGGCAGGCGATTCTACTCTGCACACAGTAACAACAAAGCTGATGGAAAGGAGCACTGTGGTGCACTGGGTAAGGCTGCTCCACAAAAGACCTGAGATCTGCTCCTGCAGACTTGCGTACGTACAACCAAAATAAACATGTACACCAGACACCTCATGGAATTTGACTTCTTGGTTTGGAAGTTTAAGGTCGTCCCAGTTAATGAACTTTATAGGATACGTAGTGCTTCTATTCTACCTCCAAGTTTTTTGTGTCATGCCTAGGGTATTAGAAGCTTGCAAGCTGGCATACAAGGCACAACAATCTACCTGGAATTACAAAGAAAGGAGAGTCTGGGGTAAGAGGAAGATTTAGAATGTATGACTAATTTTGCCATGAGAACAGAACTGAATGTTGCCTGCTACCATCACTGAACATTTTGATCAAAGAGTACACAGAAGCATCTTGATCAAAGGGGGAAATGCAGAACAGAATGTCAAATTCTCCTGCCCCCCTATTTTCTGGAGCCATGGAGGGTGAATGAACCCGTGAAACTATTCCCCTGAAATAATTGTTAAACTTTTAACCATAAGTAGTCCCTGAAATCTTCCTAAAATTTAACAACAGTTTAGTTTAACTAGTTAAGTAAAAGGGAAAAGAAAAAAAAGGTCTGCCTTGAGAATTATGCTTTTTAAAATTATTATCGCATTTTTATTTTACATAATGCTGTTTTAAGAACTATATATGGGGTCAAATTGACACTAGCAACTCAAAAGATCAGACAAGGCCCTTGGGAAGTGGTGAGCTTGTGTTCATGAAGAATTCAGAAAAGGAGGGGAGACGGTTGCACAACTCAAGGTGATCACCGTCATTAATGATACCCGGAGAAACTGTTGGATGGGTGTGTATGTTGCTGTGCATATTCTCAACAGTAACAAGAAAATACAGTTTGTGGGTCCAAAGGCATTCAGCCTAGAAAACCCTGCCAGTCAGCAATTCTACTCAATTATCTTGGATCACTGAGTTGAAAATCAACTCAATGGCATCTAACAATAAAATTAAGGTGAGAGGTAGTTTCAGAATGATCAGGAAGACAAGACTCATTAAAAAACAAACACGCTAAATGGTGATTGGTTGTTAAATTCAACTATAGAGTGTGCATGCAATACACTCTTCTTCCAGGATTTACTGAAAGGGGGTTGGGGGAGGGGAGGCGAACCCTGCACAAAAAGGAGCATCAACTATAAAGGCTACTGAGAAACGCTGCCCAATTTGAGCAACAGATGATTAAGGAGAACCCATGGAGCAAACCACTCACCGTGGAAATGCAAGCACGCTGTAGGGTCGTTTCCCATGATCCTCTCTGCTAGACAACACTGAGTCTACAGTGCCAGGCCTCTAAAGGATAGAGAAAAAGAACAGGTTATACCTGGGCTGGGGTCCAAGATATAGACTGATTAGATGCTACAAGATAATCTCCTGGTGTTAAGTTCAAAAGATTATCGAAGCAAAGCTACCACCATACTCTCTATTGTCATTTTCCTTCCACATGCAAAGTCAAAAACTTAACTTCCAATGAGAAATGTCCCATTTCAAGGTAGTCACCCTAGTGTAAAATATGAAAATAAAAACAATTTATAACTTATCAAGGGTTCATGAGGATGGAAGGGTGGGAGAGGGGAAAAGAGGAGCTGATACTAAGGGCTCAAGTAGAAAGAAAATGTTATGGAAATGATGATGACAATATATGTACAAATGTGCTTGATACAATTCATGTATGGATTTTTTTATCATTTTATTGGGGGCTAGTACAGCTCTAATCACAATGCATGCATCATATGGAGCTGTACTAGCCCCCCCAAAATGATAGTACAGTTAGTACAGTTCTTATCACAATGCATACATCATATGGAGCTGTACTAGCCCCCAATAAAATGACTTGCTTAAAAAAAATCGTCACCCTGGGAGTTGCCTGGTAATTTCATTGATGCTGCCCCTTTACCAACCATTTCTTCTTTGGAAGCTACCTTCAAAGTAGAACGCTTCATCTAGCTATCTTAAACACAGGATCAGACTTACAGAGCTCTCAGGAAAATTTCACAAGGGTGAAATTTCACCCTTGACCCAAATAATTCTAAAATTGAGCAGTTACAAGATAGGCTTTGGATTTGGGTGGACTCGTGTTCCAATCCCGACACTCTACCAGCTGTGGAGCCTCAGACCTTCACATCTAGTTAAATATACGATTATAGCATAAAGGACATAAAGCATACACTCCCAACCAAATCCACTGCCATCAAGTCAATCCCCACTCATAGCAACCCTCCATGGGCTTTCCCAGACTATGTCTTTATGGGAACCCATAGCCTCGGCTTCCTGTCAAGCAGCTGATCAATTGGAGACACTGGCCTTGCAGTTAGCAGTCCAATGCCTAACAGTGCCACTAGCCAAGAATCATAATAGAATCCAATTCACGAGATTTTTATGAGATACTCTATGGAAGTGGCTAGCGCCTAGTAAGTACTCAACAAATGACAGCTTTTTTGTTACATTCTGTAAAAATCATTGAGAAAAAAAAATCATTGAGCAAATCTACTCCATAAGACCTCTTTAAAAGTACTGAAGAGCAAGGATGTCACTTTGAAGACTAAAATGCACTGACTCAAGCCACGTGTGATAGGTAGGTTTATTGTGTCAACCTGGTCAATAAACACACATGGGATTAACAAGGTTTCAGTTTAATTGAAGGGCAAAGAGATAAATGGTTCAGCGGGCCTCGCCTTTCTTGTCTCTTGTTCTCTGATGACTGGACCAGTGTGCGGCTGCCTTGCCTGGTTCTCTGCCTCAACTTGTGAGTTACACTACCTGTGGGACACCCAACCCGTGGACTGTGTCGCTATAGTTTGAGGTTCCTTCAAGACCTGCTTCGCCACACTGCTGGAGTATACATCACTTGAGCTGTTGGACCCCTGTCATCTGGCTGACTTGCCCTGCTGTCTGCTGCCTGTGGCCAGATTGCCGGAATTGCTATACAGAATAATCAGCTGTCTGCTTCCTTGACTTTCACCCAGCAGCCCTCGTGAGCTGAAGGACTGCCAGTGTCTCGACTGTCTGGCAGAAGTGAGTTGCACTGAGCCATATGTGCTGCTCTATAATTAGCTGTTTATTTCTTTTGTTGTATATATCAATTTATCTATAGATATACAAAATCATAGGTGTCCTGGTTTTGTTTCTCTAGAGAACCCTGTCTAACACACCATGGTATTTTCAGTTGCATCATTTGCATGTGAAAGTTGGAAAATGAGTAAGGAAGACTGTAGAATTGATGTGTTTGCATTATGGTGTTGGCAAAGAATATTGAAAGAACAAACAAATCTTTCCTGGAAGACGTATATTCAGAACGCTCTTTAGACACAAGGATGATATGACTTTGTCTCACATACTTTGGACATGTTATCAGGAGAGGCCCAAACTCACTGTCATTGAGTCAATGCCTACTCACAGTGACCCTGTAGGACAGCGTAGACCTGCCTCATGAATTTCTGAGACTGTAACTGTTCATTGATGAGAAGGTCCCATCTTTCTCCCTCGGAGAGTGGCTAGGGGTTTCAAATTGCTGATCTTTCAGATCACAGCCCAATATGTAACCACTGTGCCACCAGGGCTGCTCAGGAGAGACTAGTCCCTGGAAATGGACACCATGCTTGGTAAAGCAGGTTAGCTAAAAAGAGGAAGACCAACAAGGAGATGGATTGATATAGTATCTGCAACAATGAGCTCAAACAAATCAATTACGAGGCTCGTGCAGGACCGGCAGTGTCTCATTCTTTTATACACAGGGTCACTGTGAACAATATCCAATTGGGCTATTGTATTAGTATGTATATATTATTAATTTATATTAACTATATACTAATACAGGAATCCTGCTGGCATAGTGGTTATGCATCAGCTGCTCTGCAGGAGAAAGATGGGCTTTCAACTTCCATAAAAAGTTACAGCCTCAGAAACCCACGGGGCAGTTCTACCCTGTCCTACAGGGTTGCCATGAGTAAGAATTGACTCAATGACAGTGATTCTGGTTTTATATACTAATATGTATATACATGATTATTTAATAAAGAAGTATGTATGATTAATTTTGAATTAACAATATGGTGCATAGATGGCTTTGAAAGCAATTCCCAAGAAGAGCTTTTTAAAAATGTTTTGAGGAGCTAGATTTATTTTTTTACGTTGCCAGTTGATTTCTAGTGCTATTTACAGCCATCACTTTTTTCATGTCTCTTTTTGTCTCTATACAAGCACTTGGAAGCACTTGAGGAAGTTGTCCTTCAAATGATATGAACCTGAGTTTTTCTTAATGATAACACACCTATCGATGACTCAGAGGCACCGTTGTGAGAAAGACGTAGAAGAAGGAGAACATTAACTTACGTTTACGAGGGCTTTCATCAACGTCCCACTTCCATCCATGGCACAAAGAAAGTCTTTAAAGAATCTCATCTTCACTTTGCCGTGTCTGATCATGAGGACCCCGATTCCTTTGAATGTGAATTCCACATTGCGTTGGGTGGCAATGGATCGTGATAAGAAAAGCAATGTTTCCTTCACACATCCTTCTACTATATCCCTGTTATATGGACCCTCCAGGGATATTGTGATAAAATTAAGCGGAATAATCGGGATATCACCTAGAGAAGAAAAAAGGAAATTGGGGTGGGGGCAGGAGGGAGGAGATTTACAATAAGGACAGATCAGATACCCTCATAAATAATTACCTGATTTTTTAAAACTCAACATTTGAATTATCCATATGAAGATTTTAATTATGCCTAATGTAACATTAAACATTACTGTAAATAATACAAATGGTCATGAACAAATATTAATCAGTGAAATTTTCACCCGCTTTGTCTTCAGCAGTTGTGTCGGGAAGGTGAGCATCATAGAATGCCAATTTATAGAAGAAAATATTCTTGCATTGAGGGAGTACTTCCGTGGAGGCCCAATGTCCTTCTGCTACCTTAATACTAAACCTATAAATATATGCACATAGATCTATTTCCCCATCCTCATATATAAGTATGTTTGCATATGTACATGCTTTTATTTAGACCTCTATAAATGCCCTTTGCCTCCTAGCTCTTTCCTCTATTTCCTTTGACTTTCCACTTGTCCCACTATCATGCTCAGTCTTCATTTGGGTTTCAGTAATTCCTCTTGGTTACATCATCTTGGTCATTTTTGTTGTTTTCTGACTGGTAGACCTTATACAATTTCTACATTCTATTCTAATTAAATAGACCCTACGCTTCCTTCAAGCTAGATAGAAGCATATTTTGTGTACTGTCATTCATGGAATCACTAGCAAAAGCGTTCTTCAAGCCATCCATACTGAGACCCAATTGCACTTGAAAAGTAACATCTAGCAAAGAATACTATTTTTTCAAAATGCTTAACATTCATAGATATATGTAATTGTTTAAAAATTCTGTGGTATTGGAGGAGATAGGCATATATTGTGATAAGAGTTGTATGAGTCCCTAATAAAATGATTTTAAAAAAAGAGTTGTATGAGCCCCTAATAAAATGATTTAAAAATGGAAAAAAAATGACCAAGATGAAAAATTCAAAGACAGACAATAAACAAGGTCACTGATAGAGAAACAGGACAGAGAAAATATAAGAACATTTTAGACATTAAATTAGCAGCATGAATTGATAACCTTTCAAATATCCAATGCTGCTTGGAATCTGCAGTTTAACAGTTCTACAAAATACAACCTTCTTTTTCTCAGCCCAGTCTTCTCCAAAATTTGACAGTAATTCTCTGCCATCTCCCTTCTTTTCATTTTTAAATACATTTCTTAAGAGAGGTTATAGTCTTTACAACCTCTCCTCCCACTCCATTACCTCCCTGGAATCTGTCTACCACAACTAATCTCAATAAGGACACCGTCATCTCAGGTTAGACAAACCAAGGGACACATTGCAGATCCAATTTCTCATAACTCTCTGTACTTTTTCCGGTCAATGCCCTTTTGCTCTTCTATCTATGGTCCCATTCTTGGTTCTTCTGTTTCCTTCTTGGTCTCCATCTGGAGAAAGATGGGGATTTCTTTCTGAGGCTCTGAGTTCAGTCTCAGAAACTCAGAGGGCAGTTCAGACCAGTTCTGTAGGGTGGCCGTGAGGCAGTATCAACTCGTGGTAGTGAGTCTGGTTGGGGTTTACATTGCTGACTTCCCTCCTCTTCTGACTCCCCATAAAAGCTCGAGTTATTTTCCAGAGCATTCTGTCTTTGTCGTCTTACCTTATTTTTCTTTCTAGGTAATCTTATTTGTTGTAATGGTTTAAATAGCAATATGCTGGTGACACATGAAGCTTGATCTCTAATCTCTACCTCTCCTGAGCTGATTCACTTTCACCTAGATATCCTTACAGATTGGGCCTACACTTTTATGAGAATTACAGGTCAGGGTTCCTATGAACCTCTAGTTAAAACCTTTTTGGCAACCGATCAAGATATAACCTTGCTTTATGTGTGTTTCTATTTAAAGACACCTTGTTAAATATATATTGTTGATTCCTTAACATGAACTCACCGACAACAGCACTATAATTCATTCCTAAATGAAGCTTATCTAACATATCTATTTTCTCTGTAAGACAAATGACAGCCTTCTTATGCTTAGAAACACTGGGCAGCATTTCAGTACAATGGCTGGGGACCATTTCAACCAGCAAAATCACCAACAAAGAGCATGAAGATGTAAAAAATGTGGAACTAAACAGACAATAAAAAGGAAACAGGTACAGAATTGAGAGCTGAAAACAAGAAGGCTGGAGGAAACCTTGCTCAGCTTTAGGTGGAAGCCCACCTAGCAAATGAATCCTTTTTTCTTTTTTTAATCATTTTATTAGGGGCTCATACAACTCATCACAATCCATACACACATCAATTGTGTAAAGCAAATTTGTACATTCATTTCCCTCATCATTCTTAAGATATTTTCTCTCCACTTAAGGCCCTGGCATCAGCTCGTTTTTCCCCTCCCTCCTCGCTCCCCCCACCCTCATGAACACAATATTTATAAATTATTATTTTGTCATATCTTATACTATCCGAAATCTCCCTTCACCCACTTTTCTGTTGTCCATCCCCCAGGGAGGAGGTTATATGTAGATCCTTGTAATTGGTTACCCCTTTCTACCTCACCTTCCCTCCACCTATCGCCGCTCTCACCACTGGTGCTGAAGGGATCATCTGTTCTGGATTCCCTGTGTTTCCAGTTCCTATCTGTACCAGTGTACATCCTCTGGTCTAGCCAGAGTTGTAACATAGAATTGGGATCATGATAGTGGGGGGGAGGAAGCATTTAGGAACTAGAGGAAAGTTGTATGTTTCATCGTTGCTACACTGCACTCTGACTGGCTCATCTCCTCACCGTGTCTCTTCCATAAGGGGATGTCCAATTGCCTACAGATGGGCTTTGGGTCTCCACTCTGCACTCCCCCTCATTCACAGTGACATGATTTTTTGTTCATATCATTGCAATCGTATCAGGGAGGTGAGCACACAATGATATGAGTTTTTGCTCTTTGATGCCTGATAACTGATCCTTTCGGCACCTCATGATCACACAGATTGGTGTGCTTCTCCCATGTGGGCTTTGTTGCTTCTGAGCTAGATGGCCGCTTGCTTACCTTCAAGTCTTTAAGACCCTAGATGCTATATCTTTTGATAGCCAGGCTCCATCAGCCTTCTTCACCACATTTGCTTATGCACCGGCTTTGTTGTCAATGAGTGTGTTGGGAAGGTGAGCACCATGGAATACCAATTTAATAGAACAAAGTATTCTTGCACTGAGGGAATACTTGAGTGGAGGCACAATGTCCATCTGATACCTTAATACATACATATATGCACATATATATATTTCCCCATCCTCATATATAAATATATTTACATATGCACATGCCTTTATTTAGACTCTATAAATGCCCTTTATCTCCTAGCTCTTTCCTCTATTTCCTTTTACTTTCCTCTTGTCCCACCATCATGTTCAGCCTTCATTAGGGTTTCAGTAATTCCTTTCAGTTACATTACCCTTGGTCACACCCTTCCAGGCCTCCTACACCCTCCTCACCACAGATTTGGAATGAGTCCTATTTCTTACCAATCTGCACATGTCCATGAACGACCATGAAAACCCTGCAGGTATGGATTTGGGGTTTGCAAATAAATTTTAGGGAGTAGGCAAGTTCAAAAATAAGAAGAATGAGAATCAATTACCTATTTAGCACCAAAGCATTAGATTCTAAGCTTTTCCAAAGCGAAGGGCTTTAGTTTTTTCAGTTTTTAAAACCCACAAGCTAGCAGACAGCCTGGCACACAGGCGGGTAAACGTGATATTCACGGTTGTTATATGCCTCAAGTCCATTCCAGTTCATAGTCACCCCTTGAGAGAGTAGGACTGCCCCAGAGGGTCTCCACACTTGTGGTCTTGATGTGAGCAGACCACCAACAGGTCTTTTCTCCAGGGGAGTGGCGGGGATTTTAAACAGTTGATTTTTAGTTAACAGCCAAGCATTTAACCATTGTGCTACCAGGAGGCTGTACCTATGAAAAATCATAGCCCCATAGTTTACTGTAGACAAAATTGTTCTTGTGAACGAATTCAATGATTTATGTTTAAATTTTGAAATTTCTTTACCCTGCAAAAAAAATTAATTGCAGACATACACTATATGTGTAAGCTACACCTGTAAGGATCTCAGAGGGGAAATAGGCTCTACTTCTAAGGCACAAATGTGTTTGGGGAAAACATGACTTTATTTCAATTTCCTTCCGTAAGTTTGGTTTTCTTTTGTTTTTTGATAAATTACAACATTACACTTCTTCTGCCCTAAAGCGCTGGGTAAAGGAGGCTGAACAGGTCCAGGAAACCGACCATACTAAAGACATGCAGCAAGAAAAGATGAGGCTTTCTACTCCTCTAGAGAGTGGCCATCTGGGAAACTCGAGGGGGCAACTCTACCCTGTCCTATAGGGTCGTTATGAGGTGGAATCAACTCCGATGGCAGGGAGAGGAGAGAAAATATATACAACATGAATCCTAAGTATAGCTTTGTTTAATATTTATTTTCTAATACACCCTGTTTCTCCTGGGCAGGTACTCAATAAACTTAATTTTCAATAAATTTGACAGCCAGTAAGAGCCCTTCCACCTGCTACTATTAGGGTAGGTTGTCTCTTTTCATCCAGGTGTGGGTCTCACACAGCAGGAGACAAAAAGCAACATCCAATAGGACACAGCCAGGAATGGAGAAGGGAAAGTGACAAAGTTAGGATGCAAGTGTCCTGCATTTTATGTGTTTACCACTATTCCTTAAGTTCGAACACTTACCCCTGGCACATCGCTGGCCCTCAGTGGAAGGAAAGGAGGGAAAGAGCTTGGTTGAGGTTATGAGAAAGATATCAGCCCAAACCCACTGCCATCGAGTTGGTTCCCATGCATAGCAAGACCCAATCTTTATGAGAGTGGATGGCCTCTTTGAACTGCAGATCTTGTGGTCAGCAGAACAACGCTTACCTGACAGTGTTTTCAGCAAAGATCCATCTGACACCAGCAATGAGATCCCTTGTTCTGCATCCCCTTGTGAATCCAGGTTGAACATCTGGCAGCTCCTTATCAATGTACCTAATGCAACCATTCTTGGATGATTCTCAGGACAAACGTACTTGCATGTGATATCAATGGTATTGCTCTAAAACTTGATCATCCTGTTGGGTCCCCTTTCTTTGGAATGGGTACAAATATTAATCTGTTCCAATCAGTTGGCCAGATAGCTGTTTCCAAATTTCTTGTCATGAGTGCTTCGTGTTTCATTTTTCAGTTTCTTGAAACATTTCAATTGGTATTTCATCACTTCCTGGGGCCTTCCATTTCGATAGTGTCTTTAGTTGAGCTTAGACTTCTTCCTGCAGTACCATTGATTCTTAATCACATGCTACCTCTGGAAATGGTGGCATTTCAAGTTCTTTTTGGTACAAGGACTCTGTATATGTTTCCCATCTTCTTTTCATGCTTCCTGCATCATTCAATATTCTGCCCATAGAATATTTCAACATCGTAACTTAAATTTCTTCTTGTGTTCTTTCAGTTTAAGATGTTAAGTGGGTTCTTCCGTTTTGGTTTTCTAACTCTAGGCTTTTGCAATTTCATTATTTCACTTTGTTTTCTAGAGCTTCCCTTTGAAAGTTTCTATTCAGCTCTTTCACTTCATCATTTCTTCCACTTGCCTTAGCTACGCTGATTAAGAACAAATTTGAGTCTATTCTGAGACATCCCCTTTGATCTTTTCTTTCTCTTGTCTTTTATGGGACCTCTTGTCTTCTTCATGAAGGATGTTCTTGATGCCATCCCACAGCTCATCAGGTCTGCTGTCAATAGTGTTCAAAGGGTCAAATCCATTCTTGAAATGAAATGGATTTCTGAAATTCAGGTTGGATAGACTCAGGGTCATATTTTGACTCCTGTGGAATGGTTTCCATTTTCTTCAGCTTGAACCAGAACTTACATATGAGTAATTGTTGGTCTGTTCCACTATTAACCCCTGGCCTGGTGTTACCTGCTGTTATTAAGCTTTCTCCATCATCTCTTCCCACAAATGTAGTCAGTTTGATTTCTGTGTGTTCTGTGGAGAAGTCCATTAGCTTAACAGATATTTGCAATGAAGTCCTGCAAAATTCTATCCTATTCTCTCCAGCCACTTTTGTATCACCAAGGCCATATGATCCATCTACTGTTCCTTCCTCTTTATTCCAAACTTTTTTATTCCAATCACCAATAATTATCACTGCATCTTGATTGCATATATGATCAATTTCAGAATAAAGAAGTTCGTAAAATTCTTCAATTTCTTTGTCACTAGCTTTAGTGGTTGGTGCATAGATTTGAAAAATAGTTATATTGACTGGATTTCTTTGGAAACAAATAGATATAATCTTATCACAGACAACATTGTACTTCGAGATAGATCTTGAAACGTCCATTCTGGTGATGAATGCAACGCCTTTCTTCTTGAATCTGTCCTTATTAGCAGAGTAAACCAGGATTTTCTGTTTCAAAATGGCCAATACCAGTCCGTTTCAGCTCACCGATGCCTAAAATGTTCATCTTTATTTCATTTCACTTTTGACAACTTCCCGTTTTCCTAGATTCACACTTTGAACACTCCAAGTTCCAGTGATTGATGTTTCCAACTGTTTCTTCTCATTTTTTTGTGCCCCATCAGTAAATGGAGGCCCCTCAGACTTTACTCCAGACGGCTGCACTTCATCGTATCATTACCATCAACTCTACTTTGAGAAGGCAGCTCTTCTTCATTCATATTCTGAGTGTTTTCTGACTGAGGGGCTTACCTCTGGCACTAAGTCTGACAAAGTTCTGCTTCTACTCAGGAGGCTTTTAGTGTCTGACAATGTTTTGATACTGTCCATGGTGTTATCCAGGTACAATTCCTCAGCCTAGACCTTCTTCATAATCTGCTCTTAGTCTGGAAGCTCTGCTGAATCCTGTTCACGTTGGATGATCCTGCTGGTTTTTGAAATACCAGTGACATAGCTTCCAGAATGACAGCCACATGCAAGCCCACAACAGCACAACTACAGCAAACCGATGTCTCCCAATTAAGCGCCTGGAGGCATCCTGTGCTGCAAAAAAAGCCTCCGGCCCAAAGGCACTCCGCTTTCCTTGCTCCATGGACAGGAAGGTCCACCACTCTCTGGTGCTTTGGCTCTGCCAGTGCCACTCCTCTGCTGCCACAGCTTTCGGTCTCTGGTTCTAGCGGGTTCAGCGTGGGGGAATTTTGGAATCCAGAGGCTTGTTCCACTCCTGACTCCTCTTTCTTGATGGCAGTGAACTCTTCCCCTTTCTGCAGCTGCTATGAACCCTTTTATACCCAGCAGGATTGCAAAATCGACCAATTTCCACGTTTGAAGTCCAAGGGTTTTTTTTGTTTGTTTGTTTTGTTTTTAACCATTTTATTA